TTGTGTGTGTTTTTTTTAGAGCAGACAAATAGTTTACAATGGACTCTTGCTTCAGTTCCATTAATCAAAGCATTACAGCTTACTCTATCTTTCCTCTTTTGGTAAGTGTTCTCTCTCTCTTTAAGCTATTGTTTTACCATTAATGTTCTTGTGGCAAATTGAGAAGCTTGTTTCTCTATAATAACCATTTTTTTCGAAAAATCGTTTTCGATTATGTTAATTGGTTGGTTTTTGGTGGCAGGCATTCATGTTTTCACCATCAAATTTGTTCTCTTTGGATGTCTTTTGGTGTATATGTGACTGGTGTTCTGTTTCAGACAGCTTCATTTGTGTCTTTTTTACTCATCTCTCATGGTTATTGCATCACTTGTGAACGGCTCTCCTTGACCGAACGTAGAACAACAGCTTCACTTGGTTGTGTTTTCTACTTGACGCTTGTTGGTTACCGAGCTTCTGTTCCTTATTTTGCAGTGAGTTTTAACCTTTTTTACCTAACTCATTTGATAATGTTTAACTTACCGGATTGATGATGAACCGATCTTTTGTCGTTCTTCAGGTGCTTCTAATACTTAACTACATGATCTCATTCTATGTGATTTTTCACCATATATCACAAAATTTATCGGTATTACGAGAACAGCTGAGTTTCATCGAAGATGAGAATGTTCAAGCTATGCATGATGCTGTGTATGCTAAATATATCATGTTCAAGTACGTTTATCTTTTGTTGCTTTGTACATTCGGATTCGTGGTTGATCAAAGTCGATAAGCTGCTAAGCCTAAGAGTTTCATTTTTTGTTGTGGGTTTCAGAAAATTCCAAGGAGCTATGCAGATTGTAGCAATGGCAGAAACTGTAGTATGAACATAATTTTATATGTTTCATTTCTCATCATGTTGGATTGCTCGCTTCGTCGTTTACTCATAGTTACCGTAACTTTTGGCAGATCTATATGAACATGGATAACTCCTCGCAGAATTATTGGCTTCGGCTACTAATTCGAGAATGGGCTCAGTTCTGCATTTTCCTCTATATTGGGTAAGTTGTAATCTCACTTTTTCGATTTCTCGAGTATATTCATCTCTTCTTGCTTGGTCAAGAACTAACAATGCTCCGAACTATATACTTTGCCAGTTGGACTTTCAGGTCACAGGACATGGCACCACGGTTCTCGGTAATGCCTACACTAAAACCCAAAGACAATGCAATTATTCCTCCGATTTATAGCATGGTAAGTAATGCGGTGTAAACTTCGTTGGCCTTATGATATCTTGGATTAACTAAAGCGCAACGCTATATCATTGGTTGAAGTAATGTTCTGCTTATGCTAATCTATGTACTAATTTTTCAGGAAATGGACGCGAAAACTTTCAAAGAATTCAGAAGTCATGAATGGAACATTGGAGTGGTAAGTCATTTTAGCTATATATACTCCTGCTCCATTTGGATCACCAAGCCGAAAGTTTTTTTGTAATCCATACTGCGATTAAATCTCTGTTTGCAGCCAATGCCGTATTCAAACTACGAAAGGCAAAAAGATTCAGTTCTAGTGATTATTCAGCATCCGCGATAGCATTCAGAGAAAAGCAAAGATACAAATGCTTCCCTCTTCTTTTCATCTTCCTACAAAGAGTAAAAAGATAACAAAAACACACACAAAAGTTTAACAAAAGGTGCTTCCTCAGCAGCTGCAATGTTCTATCTTTATCAACTACCTATCTCTCTCTTTATTTTACATCTTTTAGTTTTTTTTTTTTTTTTTTCTCTTTTGGGTCTTTTGTAGAGAAATAAAACTTCATTTTCTTGTATAGATGCAAAAGTTAGTTTAATTAGAGTATGTAATGCTTCAAATGAGAATGTAAACATAAGTGCTTGATATTTTTCTTCACAAATGAAACATTCCAGAGAAAGCAAAATCTATGCTAAAACTAATTTTGGCTAATTTGTTTTCCTCTTGCATTTCTTCTAACCACAAAACAACACTGTCCTAATCCTGTAAGCCTCAAACAAACGAACAGTAAACAAGCTAATGCAGAGTGTTTAATGAATCATCACAAAGCTTCTTCCTTTAAGTCATCCATGGCGATATCATCTGCATTCTCTTCTTCAACCATCTCATCTTTAAACAGAGTCTTGAAATACGGTAAAACCTTAGGAAGCACTTGCAAATCCGCCATGTTTATACTCATCAAATCAAAGGCAATGCAAGTGTTATGCATGTGTGATTCATCAATCACTGGAATCTTCGGATATCTCTGGCTAAAATGCGTGAGAACAATCCGATACACACCTGCCGAAGATCCCACGTCAATTGCTTCTTTAGTCGTGCTGTGATTCTTCGCCAAAGCTTCATCTATCAACGCATCTTCAAACGTCGCCTGTAAAAAACGATAAAGTTTTAAAGTGTCGAAATCTGGCTGACCCAAATGATAGATATGTTATAAAAGTTTGAAATTTTTACCTCGTGTATGAGAACTGTTGCATCTCGTGATGCTTCGACGATCTCAGGACAAGGTCTTGTGTCACCTGAGTAAACCATTTTCCATCCCGGGATTTGTTCTCCAACACTGTTTAATCTTTCCGCTGCTTTAACAACGACACCAAAGGCTTGAGGACAATGAACAACAGGAAAACTAATCAAATCCTCCAAACCGATTTCGCTAAGAACCTTCTTCAGATTCTTTAAACATGGCAAAACCGAAGAATTATCCATCAGGATATCAGATCTTTTGAAGACACTCTGCATAGGACTTCCTTTACTAAACAAAGAACCCTCTGCATTGCCGCTACCGCTTTCTAAAGAAGCCCAAGAAGTTGCTGTGGTGCTTCTACAATCAAGAAACTCCATATCTAAATCCTCAAGTCTTTGATATGCATCGAGAAAGCGTTTAAGCGACCTTGGTCCCACCACAATCGCAGGCTCGTGAGTCACTCCTTTCAAAAGCTTGCATCTAAGAGCTAGAATTCGCGCAAGACCCGCATGGTGATCGGCGTGGATGTGAGAGATCCAAATACACCTCAATTTTCTAACTGCCTCATCAGCGCCATCTAAACCGTACCTTCTTTTAAGCTGGCCCAAGGTTCCTTCCCCACAATCTAGGAGAAGACCACCTCTAGAGAATAAGTCAATGTAAATTGCACTGACGTTTCGGTATTTTGAAGGCTGGGACGAACCAGTGCCTAAAAGAACAATCTCCATGTCGTCTCGTCTAATGTTTTCAAGACAGCTTGGAAGAACAGTGTTGGTCTCGTCGATCATCGTCATATTGTGTTGTCTGTTCCAAAATTGCTTGATTTCTTCGCTTTTATCTTCAATCTCCGGAATTTTTGAAAGTAGCTCATCCACTACTTGTGAGGATGTTGATTGAGGAGGGATAAAAGATCTGTCGATCCCAAGAATGGCATGAGGACGCAAAGTGAACTGCCCACAATAATGAAAAATATTTAAGAGCTAAAGACAATATTTGGCTTAGAAAGAGATTTCAACTTCTAACTTGTTTGATCAGAAAAAATGACCAAATCCAAAACCAAAAGTGTCGACAATGTCAGATACCTTGAGGAGATTTTCAGCAGAAATGCTTTTACCAAGATTTGAAGTTAAGCACTGTAAGGAGAAAAAGAATACACTACATTATCTATTTGAATTCGATGAATCGAACTAATTTCAACTCACTAAGTAAAATTGTATGAGAACAGTATTTACCACCTCGCTTAAAGGAGGGGAATCTATCATCGAGCTATTAACATGTTGAGGAGGCCAAAAACCAGGAGCAGGAAAGAACTGTGGACATAAGTAGTTAAGTCTTGCCGCAATTATTGAACTTGCTTTCAAAATCGGAAACTCCATGTTCTTCCTGGATAAAACACGAAAACGAAATATTAGCATCGAGCAAATTAACTAACAGTTTATATGAGAAACAACCAGAAGAAGAGAAGCGAGCAACCTTTGGTGACCAGCAAGAATGTGTTGAGAGGAATGAAATCTCTCCATCCAGCTTTGGTATGTAGGACTACTTGTTACCGAAGACGGGCTTAAATGTATAATACAATTCACCAACTTCGCTTGACCGTCAGTACATGAATAATAATTCTCCAAACACTTAACTGATAACAGTTCTTTAGCGTGTGACTCTGTTGGACAATCGACAAGAAGAACAATAGGACCAGGAAGTGAAGGTCCCATCACATCACTCGGATATACCTAAAGATCAAAGAACAGAGAATCATTTCACCTGAAGAGAAGAATCTGTTATTGAAATCGCAGATATCGACCAACATACCGTAATATCCTTTGTATCTGACTTCACTGATTCTCCGGACTGAAGTCTACTATATTTTGGACCAGGCCTAACACCGAATTCATTCTTGGCCTTCTGTAGATCAAACTTCCCCAATATTTCAGGTAATTCACATACGTATACAACTGAGATCTCACCAGATTTTTTGCAAGTGTTTTCCTCAGAGTCAGAGTGAGATGATTCTAAGAGAATGGCAGATATTTTCACAACTTCGTCATCCACAAGAACTATAGGATCAGGTGTACTCGAAGGACCAAAACTCCGTGTGTGAACCATTGCCGCACGTGGAATAAACGACTTCATTGCATCAACTAAGTAATTAAGGTCTGAAGGTCCCCATACATTCACCTTTATAACAAAAACAATAAAGAAAATTTCAGCAATTTCATACACAGATAAACACACACAAAACAATATGACAAGAACACTCACCGAAAGCCCTTCTTCACCGATACCAGCAAGAGTTAGTAAAAGACCTATGACATTACCAAAACAAGAAAACTCTTAGCATCACCATTAACCAAAAGCTCAAGCAACAAAGACAGACATTGGAAAAGCTTGAACGAACCTGGAAGTCCACCTGCTGTCTCTGAGCATACACGAGACAAGAATATATGATCTATCTGTAACAAATTCAGCAAAACATCAACTTC